CACCGCCGCGGCTGGGAAGTCCGGTGCCCTGCTGTGCGGTTTCAGATTCGGTGCTGCCCACCTCACTTAAAATACGTTTACCCGAGGCACTGTTTGGAACAGATTTTTGCTGCGTTTCGAGGAGGGATGGCTGCATGGAGTCAGTGTTAGAACGTGCGGGTGTTCATTTCTGATGCCTGTGAAAGCAGACCTTCAGAGCTGGTTTTCTCCTGCTCAGTTCCAGCTGTCCCTCAGCAAGCCAGGGGGACAGAGCGGGGGATGCCACCGAAACCTCAGCTTGCTCCGCGTTCATACGGACAGGGAGCAAAACGATGCCAGGGGACACCCAAGGAGCGGGCTGGGTGGGTGTAAGGATGCAAACAGGTCAGCTGAAAGAGGCCTTTTTGCTTCGGCTCCGGCTGCCGAGGTACTGTAGCAGACAGTCGTGCCAGGTGACTGGGTCGCTGCAGCGTGGTCACAAGCGTGACGCTTTCGGGAGCGGAGTGTTGCTGCTGACGGGGTGAGGACTTGCTGGGTTTGTTATTTAAGCCTCTGACTGTCTTACCCAGGTCTCTGAAAAACACCAACGCAGTGGTCCTTGGAGCTTAGGGCGGGTGTTCTTTTTATAAATAGTACAAAAAAACCCAGTTCATCTTGTCTTAAAACAAAAAAAACAAACAAATTTTTGAGAGTTACAGGCTGTCCATTCCCCTCCTTCCATTTAGAAACACCCACGCCCTGTAGTTATCAGAGGTGTCACACTACAGCCGGCGAAAGAAGTGGAGGTATCTCTGTGTACAGTAGCTACAGTCACTTGTAAGGCGTGTGGTTAGCATGTGACTGTAGGCAGATACATATTTAATTTGTATATGTATAATATATACAATTTGTACATGTATATGTGTATATATACACGTGTATCTTGGGCTCCTCATCTCTGAGGCTTGCTTTTCCTCCTGCCCTGGAAAGTGAGAAACTTTTCTGCTGGGCTAGAACGTGTCCAGGAGAGCCGGACCCTGGAGCGCTGCTCTGCTGCGGGCACCTGGCTGGGGCCGTTCGGTGCGGGAGCAGCCTTCCCACGCCGGGAGGACGGCAGCCACCTACTCCTCCTGGGGATTCTGGTTTTAGTACTGAGCTGTGTCTAGAGGGAAGGACCGGTCCGGTGAAGAAAGCTGTCTCGTTTTACTGGGATTTGCTCTCCCGGTGGCAGAGCGGAGCCTGCGAGGTGGCTGTGCTGGCTGCTGGTGCCTGGTCTGCAAGGGCCCGCCTCGGGGAGGTCCCACGCAGGGAGAGTGACCTAGAGGCGCAGGGGGATTTCTGGCCATGGGGTTGTCTGAAGGTTGGCGTTTCTCACTGCAGAGTCTGTAGTTTGTTTTGGAATATTTGTCAGTAATGAACTCAAAGTAGCTGTGAAGTTCAGGAAACTTTTAACTTCCCCAGGTTTAAAATTAGCAGCTTCAGCAGCAGCGAAGCTGCTCCCTGGTGTCTCCCAGCAGACAGGCCTCCTGCCAGGAGTTCTCCTCTGTTTACTCCCGGGCCGTTCCGTGCTCAGCAGAGCCAGAGCGGGGCACTGTGCGTGTCGCGGCCCGGGCGACCACGGCCTTTGGCGTGGTGCGGTCGTTTCTCTGGAAGGAGAGCGTTCGGGCTCGGCTGGGAACCCAGGCGCTGGCGTACCTGGCACCGTCCAGTCACGTCTTCTGGTTTTGGGGGGTAGTGTGCGTTACCCTGTGTTTAAGGCACGTGTGGTGGAGCATGTGAAGTCGTAAGGGAGCTGCTCCCCTCAAGGGCCTGTTTACATGGAATGGAAAATGTTTTCCATGGCCTTAGATAAGTATGCGTAAATGAGTATTGTTGAAATACTTCAAAGTTTTAAGCTGCTTTAGTGGATATATTTTGCAAGAAGGATGTCCTCTTTGGATTGCTCAGTATCAGTGCAAAGATACAGCACTAAAGCAATTTTCCTTTCTTCCAAGAGAGTTCACTGGAATTTATAAAACGCAGAAATAGGTGTCTAACTGGATGCTCCCCCTGATTCCCCAGTTAAAAGCCTGCCCAGTGTATTAGTGGTGTTCTGTTGCTGTTGAAAAAAACCCCAATTTGGAGAGGAGCGAGAGCACGTTGGGTGTAGCTGGGAGGCCTGCCAGTCTGTGCACGCTGGGCTGCAGAGCGAATCCTCCTCGGGGG